CCCACCCCCACAAGGGTGCCATGCACCTTATTTGCATTATTAGCAAGTTGTCCGATCCCCTTGGTGATCCATAAGCATCTTATTTGCATAGTAGCACCCAATCATTTGATGGGAATTACAAGACCGTGGCGAGAAAGGGCATATACACGCAACCCATCACCCTCGTGGTAGAATTCTTGCCAGAGTCGACCCACAACCAATGCACTTGGCTGTCAGTGGAGGCTGGCATGTTGCTATGATGCTGACCAGGTTTCAGCAGAGCTTTCAGACTAAGATAGGCTAGAAAGAAAGGCTGGACAATCTGCTTGTGAAAATCAGCCAATGCACACATGTGGACCACAACAGTCTGATTCTGCTGTGCCTGGGGTAGCCATGAGTCGGGCTGACTCAACGCAGCCAGTAACAACAAGGGACATGTAACAAAATCCAACACAGAGAGGTTGATAGGCCTGAGACCACTTATCTCAAAAGGTCTCCACCACTCTTCACCTTGGTCCTTGAGGACCCCATCTCCTGACTTGGTGAACCTCGCTGAATAAGACTTTCACATTGAAATAGGCTTCACCCTGGAAGTCCTGGTTGACTTGCCTGTCTCCCCTGTTGGGCTGGGAGGTGGGGGAAGGGTAAGCTCTACTCATCTCTTCCTCCCTGGGTCCAGCACTGGGTTGGGCACTCAGGAAGCATCCGTGGACCCCACCTTCACCTTCCTTACTCTCATTCTTCAGGACCTCGAGGAACTCAGAGGCTCCCCGTGGTCCATCAGGGGCCCACCCCTCCTGGGGTATAGCCTGGAGTGGAAAAGCAGCAGATCTGGGGGTGGACTTCCAGTCATAACAGGGTCTGGGTGTGGACTTCCAGTCATAACAGTGTGGAGGGGCAGCTGGGACCAGGACACCTCTCTCTTGGTCTCTGATTTTCCAGAAACACCACCATCTCCCAGCAAGACGTTAATCAGTAACAGTCCCACAGGGGCTCACACTTTGGAATAGCAAATATTTGCTGAAGGCTTTCAGCTACAAACCGTAACCTTTTGTCTTTTGTCCTGAATGAAGGACCTTCCCAGGCAGAGGACCCCTCGCGCAGGTAAGAGGCAGAGAATTAAAGGGAAGCCTTTAAAGTCCAATTAGGCAGGGATGGGACAGGGATGGGGCAAAGGGCCCGTTGTCTCTGGTGAGGGGGTGTTTGGTGGGCAGAGCAAAGCCTTCAAGCCTAGACTCCCTAGAGATGTAAACCCAGGTGAGCAGGGTCAGGGATGAAGGCTAGCACAGCCAGGAGGGTGCTTCCTCAGAAGGACAATGGCCAGCGGCCAGGGGCTTTTAAGGCTGAGACTTCATCACCCAGCATGGTCTGAGCAAGCCACACTCAACTCCCAGCCTCCCCAGGACACTCCCTGGGCTCTTTGAGGGTCTGAGGTGGAGGGGTGGGAGTGAGGTGCTTCTCCCAGGAGTATGCCACCTTGCTGAGAAGTGGTAGGTGAGCGGTTGGTTTCTTACCACTTGGGTCTATGTAGGTAGGTGTGTCCCTGAAGGAGTATCCCCTGCATACAGATTTCATAGGGCTCAGCAGATGAACTAATAGTTTAGGGGCTGTGCAGTAGGTCAAGGCAGTAGCTAGCACCCAGTGGAATGCTGGACCACCATGCCTCAGCCTCAGGGAACAACTTCAAGAAGAGTGGGGTGAGACCTGGCATTTGGAAGGGGTGGCATCTATTTGGGACAATTTTCTGTCTACTGTGACAGAGAGAAAGGAGCTCTGGTGGTGCTGTGGTTAAAGCATTGTGCTGCTAACCTAAAGGTGGGCGGTCCAAACCCACCAGCCACTCCACTGGAGAAAGATGAGTCAGTCTACTTCCATAACGATTTACAGCCTTGGAAACCTTATGAGGCCGTTCTACTCTGTCCTATAGGACTGCTATGGGTGAGAATCGATTGGCAGTGGGTTGGGTTGGGTTTGGTGCCAGAGAGAAGTCACCCTGAATTTAGGAGGATTCTACTGAGGGTTGGAGTCTCTGGGTGGTACAAAAGGTCTTGGCTGCTAACTGAAAGGTTTAAGGGTCAAGTCCACCCAGAGGCACTAAGAAAGACCTCTTCTGAAAAACCAGCTACTGAAAGCACAGCTTATGGGCTCACTGAGAGTCGGAACCAACTCAACTGCAGCTGCTTTGGGCTCAGTGCTGTAATGTCACGAAGCCACAAGATGGGGTCACACTGGGTACCTTGAAGGAGGTACTCACCCAAAGTTTAGAATACTGGTGTAAACTGCTGGATGCCAGGCTGTCATGTGGAACTGGAAAGCACCCTCTAAACGCTGACTTTTGGGAAACTGCAGAGCCTTTTGCTGAAGGTAGTGGTTCCAGCTGCGGTAGGAATGAGGCTGTGGATTCCCGGAGCCGTGAGCAGGAGCAGGCAGCAATGGGCCCAGTCCCAAGGAGCTCTGGTGGTGCAGTGCCTAAGGCACTTGACTGCTAACCAGAAGGTTGGCAGTTTAAACCCACCAGCCACTCCTTGGAAGGAAGATTGGGCAATCTACTTCTGTAGTGATAACACTTTGGAAACCCAAGAAGGGGTCATTATGAGTCAGAATCGGCTCATGGTAGTGAGTATGGTTTTTTGGGTTTTGATCCCCCTGGCCTGCTCTGACCATTGTCTGGCAGAAGGTGGCCCAGAGAATGTCCCTGGAATCCCCCACTCTCTCTGCTGCCTCCTCCCCTGGGGATCTTCACATGGCCCTTGTGGGAGGCCATGACCTTGAGGGGCTGGCCAGGCAGGGAACTTTGGGAAGGTTTTCTGTGAACTAAGGCATCCTCCAAGAGTGAACACACAGGACCCTATACCGTCAGAGGACAGAGCTAGCCCCCCGCCTCCTGAAGCAGGGCCCTGGGAGGATATTCCCCGTCAGTCACAGATGCATTGTGAGGCCCTGGGAACACTCTCTGTCCTCTTGTCTTAGCAGAAGTCCTGTGGCCGGAGTGAAGCCTCTTTCTGCCTGCCCAGCAGACGACATGAAGGTGGTGATAAGCCTCCTGCTCCTTGTCCTGGCACAGGTGTGTCTGATGTCCAGCTTGGTCCCGGGCCCCTCAGAGGCAGAGGCAGGGCCTGGGACTCTGAGGATCCTTGTTCCCCAGAACCAGCTCTCGGGGGAGGAGGAAGAAGAAGAGGAAGAAGAGAAGCCTTGGCCAGCAGCCGGCGGCTGGGAGCTCTCCCAGGAGACGTCCAACTTCGGGTTCAGTCTGCTGCGCACAATCTCCATGAGGCACGAAGGCAACGTGGTCTTCTCCCCACTCAGCCTGTCCTTCGCCATGGCGACCCTGATGCTAGGGGCTGCGGGGCCCACCCACACCCAGATCCTGAACGGGCTCGGCCTGCAGGCCCTGAATGGGACCCAGGTCACATCCGTGCCAGCCCTCTTCGGGCGACTCAGAGAGACCCTGTCCTGCAACCAGGAGCTGGCCCTCACCCAGGGCAGCTTGGTCTTCATCCACAAGGACTTTGATGTCCAAGAGACCTTCCTCAATTTATCGAAGAGGTATTTCGATACGGAGTGTGTGCCGGTGAACTTCCACAATGCCTCCCAGGCCCGAGCGCTCATGAATCAGTACATTAACAAAGAGACTCAGGGGCGAATCCCCAAACTCTTTGACAAAATTAATCCTGAGACCAAGTTCATTCTTGTGGATTACATCCTGTTCAAAGGTACGCTGACTAAGCTCTGCTCTCCCAAAGCCACGGGTCCCTCACCTCCTCCTTTCCCTCTGTTTGGCCAGCATAGGGCTCTCAGTGAACTTGGTTTCAGGCTCTGCAGATGGGCACTCTGCAGATGGGACACTGCCAACTGACACAGCCCCAGTACCACACACTAGCTGGTCCTTTATGATGCTCCAAGCACCCCTCCCAGCTCTCTTAGGACTTGTGGAGCCACGTCCAGGGGTTGTGTCATCTCAGAAATTCAGACCTTCACTCTTCGCTTTCATGACCTGGGGCAAGTGACACACTATCTGTCCTTAAATTCTTAATGTAGAAAACAGGTCACTCCCACCTATCATAGAGTCATGAGGCTTAAATGAGCTAATGCCCAGTTGTGCTTGGCACGTAGTAGGTACCAAATATTAACTATTTTATTATTTGATCTTCCTAACTGCCAACGAAGTAGGCAGAGCAGGGGTCCCGGTCCCCTTTCTAAAGAGGATGAGCGCGAAGCTCAGAGAGGTTGGTTAGCTTGATCAAGGTCACAAGCTAACACTAACATATGGCAAGGCCAGACTGCAGCCAGGGTCTCCTGATGCCCTGATGTCCTGCTGTGTCCAGGATGCCCTGCTGCCTCTCTAATGAGACACTGGACTTGCCGACTACAGGCAAAGTGGAAGTCGAGGCCCGGGAGGAGCCCCCACCCCAGGCAACCAGGCCACGTACTCCAGAAAGACATGTGTCTGAATAGGCCTGTTGGTGTCCTCTTCTGAGTTGTGTAGTTACTGATCAGCAGGGACCCCTTCCCTCAGAATCACCCGAAGCAGGGGATGTCGTCAGTTCTGCCACACCAGACTGCATGTGTGATGTGTGTGTTTGTTCACGGGCGTGCATGAGACAGTGTGGCAGGCAGAGAGCCCCTCAGGCAGCCAGGGACAGGCAAAGCCGTGTTTTCTCTGTATCAGAGCTAAACAACAAGAAACTGAGTGTAGAAGGCAGTGGGGGAGTTTTGTTCAGGTCCAGAAAGAGGGGAACAGGAATTCTCAGGTGACCTGGCCATGCTCCTGGCTTTGATTGCAATCAGCTCTGTGGGGGAGGGTCCTGGGCGAAGCAAGTCTTTGGGAATTACTCCTGCCTTCTCTAGCTCTGGTCAGAGCAAGTCCCAGACTGGGATACTTTCCCAGTTGGGGCAGGAAAAGGCGGGGAACCGCATCCTCTGCGACGGTAGCGAGGATGAGGGTTCCTGCGGAGGGTGCTTTGCAGTGAGCTCCTTTCTTGTCTGTGCAGGGAAATGGCTGACTCCCTTTAACCCTGTCTTCACGGAAGATGACACTTTCCGCCTGGACAAGTACAAGGCAGTCAAGGTGTCCATGATGTACAGGGTAGGCAAGTTCGCCTCCACCTTTGACAAGAATTTGCAGTGCCACGTCCTCAAACTGCCCTACCGAGGAAACGCCACCATGCTGGTGGTGCTCACGCAGAAGCTGGGAGACCACCTAGCCCTTGAGGACTACCTCACGGCAGACCTGGTGGAGACGTGGCTTCGAAACATGAAGACCAGGTAGAGCCCTGCCCCGGCCCTGCACACACTCAGTCTTTGTGTCCTTGGTGACGCTCATATGTTGGTCGCTGCACTGTGGTTTGCTGTCCATCTCTCCATACGCTCCATGAAGGCAGAGGCAGCACTATCCCGGGTCCTCTCTGTCGCCAGCTTGTCCATTCATTCACTCAGCACTATTTACTGAGGTGCTGCCGTGTGCCTGGCTCTGTGCCTCGTGCCTGATCCTGGGGATGCATCAGCACCCCAAACAGGCAAGAGCCCCTCCCCTCATGGAGCTTACACTCAGTGAGGAGAGACAGACAATAAACAAGTCGGAAGGAAGAGGGGGCAATCTACTTCCATAGTGATACTGCCTTGGAAACCCAAGGAGGGGTCGCTATGAGTCCTTATGTTATGTTATGGCACATAACAACAAACAACAACAATACAGGGATGGAGGCAGGGAGCACCAGCAGGGTGCACGCTGAGGACAGGGAAGGCCTGCTAAGAAGGTAACCAACTTCTCTAGATAAAGGATGAGTCATGTGGATGTCTGGGGAGGAGAAGTGTTCCAGGCATACTGCAGGGTGGGAGTGTGTTTGGTGGGTTTGAGGAACAGCAAGAAGGCCAGTGGGGCCGCAGCAGAGTGAGTGGAGGTGAACAGTAAAGAGAAGATCAGAGGGGAGCCGGGGGCCCAGTCACTTAGGACCTTCAGACCACAGAAAGGATGTGGGCTCTTCCTGAGGGACATGGGAAACCACTGGAAGGTTCTGAGCAGAGGAGCATTGTAATCTGAGTTCTGTTTTGAAGAGTCACACAAGCTCCTGTGCCGAGAAAAGACAACAGGAGGCCAAGTGTAGAAGCAGGAAGGTCAGCTCCTATCACGATCCAGATCAAGGTGCTGCTGCCTTGGACTACGGCGTGGCAGTGGGGCTGATGAAGAGCAGTTGAATTCTGGCCTTTGTATGAAACTAGAGCTGACAGCATTTGCTAACGGGTTGGGCATGGGTGAGAGAGGAAGAGGAGAGTCAAAGATGATGCCAAAGTGTGTGCCCTTAGCAACTGGAAGGATGGGTTTGCCATTTACTGAAATGGGGACAGCCACAGAAGGCACAGATCTGGGGGTAGGCTCAAGAGTTCAGTTTTCAACATTTGGATCAGAAGTATCCATTAGGCATCCAAGTAGAGATGTCAAGAAGGGAGCTGGATACCTGGATCTGGAGTCGCAGTGTGAGGACCAGGCTGGAGACATGAATTTGGGAGTCCTGAGCATAGGAACAGAACGTAAAGCCCTGAGGCCCAGCGAGATGACCTTGGGGAGGGCTATGGACAGACAGGAGGAATGTCTGACCACAGACAGGCCCTCGAATGTCTCATGAGTTCATCAGTGCACCTACAGGAGTACAAGGGAAACAGTGGCCTAGAGTCCATGGCTCTGCCCTCGGAATCCTGCCAACTCAGAACGTGCCAGAGGTGAGCCCAGCTACACGTCCCCCAAGTTAGTTTTTCCTTCATTGTTCATCTTTAATTTTTCTTTGAATCCTCAGTGCCTAGCAAAGGACCTGACATAAGCCCTAAATAAATGTTTACTGAATGACTAAAGTTCTAAATCAACCTTCGGGAAATGTCCTGTCCAATTGGGTCTACCCCAAGTGAACTGACCAATAGAAAAACAGGATGGAAGAGGACTCGGTGCCTAGAAGGGAACTGGTCCCAAGCCCCTACCACATGCAGTGTTCTGTACTCAACATGCTATTTTACCTGATCCTCTGAACCACTCTGTGAGACTGGAATTGGTATGTTGGGACTTCATTTTAGAGATTAAAACACTGGGTCTTCTTTCAGAGAATTATCAATCAGCAGTTTTCATGCTTTTTATTTTTAAGCCACAGAACTCATTCCATCAAAGTACTTTCAAAGGAGAACTCCGATGTGTAGAACAGATAAAGCTAAAGTGTCTCTGCTGAAGACAGGCCAGGGTGGGAAAGTTTCCCTCATCCCCCACCACTACCTGCCCCCCGAGGCCCCTGGGGTTCTCCTGAAACCGGGGCGTTTGATGAATCTAGCCACTGAAAACAGCCCTCAGCCGGATGTATGGCAGATTGCTGGAAGCAGCTGTTTGGTTAGTTTTTAGCTATTTTTAAACCAGGAAAATGGGCTCAAAGGGTGGCATTCTTTGCCAGAAAGAATGCAGGTCACTGGCTCACTGATGCTGAAGTCAAATTATAGCAGAGACCTAAGAAGCCACAACCTTCTCCAAGACAGGCCATTCCCAGAGTAAGGCAGACTCTTAACGGGACATTCTCGGGGGAAGGGAAGGCAAGAAAGCAGGGCCTTGTCAGTCTCCATTTCATCTTTCTATGTACTTGTACCACAGAAAGATGGAAGTTTTCTTTCCGAAGTTCAAGCTCGACCAGAAATATGAGACGCACGAGCTGCTTAAGCAGTTGGGGATCCGAAGCATCTTCTCCCCCTGGGCTGACCTCAGCGAGGTCTCTGTGACCACAAGAAAGCTTCAAGTATCCAAGGTGAGTCACCACCCCTCCCAGGGCCCGAACACCGTGTGGGAAACGCTCCCAACAAGCATGTTTGCAGCTCATTCCCCCTGTAATAAAATACCTGGATGTGGTAGAAAATTAGCTTTACAATCCAGAGGCCTGGAACAGTGCCCAGCTGGATGTTTCAAAGATTCCGGGCTACTTCATTAAAGCAGATTTTTGACTAATTTCTCCACGTAGAGCACACTCTCTTCTCCTCAAGGAGAAATGGAACTGGTTTACGGATTCATCACCATATATGTCAAAGAGAACTTGGAAATTTCATGAAACTGTATCATGTTCAAGATGAAAGAAATGCCAGAGGTCATCTGGCCCAACTCCCCACTCCTTATGGAAATCCCTCTATAATATCCCTACAGAATAACCTTCCAGTCTTTTTTTTTTCCCCAAAGTTTCCAATGACAGGGAACTCACTGTCTTTGAAAAGCAGCCCAATCTACAAATGGCTAAAACTAACACAGATAGATAGATGATAGACAGATAGATAGATAGATAGATAGATAGATAGATAGATAGATAGGAGGCACTGGTGGCTTAGTGCCTAAGGCATTTGACTGCTAACCAGAAAGCTAGTGGATCAAACCCACCAGCCACTCCTTGGAAGGAGGGTTGGACAGTCTGCTTCCGTGGTGATACCACCTCAGAAATCCACGGAGGGGTCACTATGAGTCAGATCCAACTTGACGGCAGTGACTTTGGTTTTATGGATGGATGGATGGATGCATATGTGTGCATGTGTATATTTGCGTATGTCTGTACACACACACACATGTATATATATTCCCTTTACACTTCCCTAACTCACACCTGAGGCCCTAGTTGTGGACCTGAAGCTAAGAACAAGTTTAGTCGCCTCAGCATCCACATGAAATCCTTCATCTAATGAGCGTTTCTCAGTTGAAATGCTGTTGGTTTCGTGGGGAAGCAACCATCTGTCACTTGAGCAGTTCTGTGCATCTCAGGGACCTGCGTAGTATCCTGGCCCATGCTCACTAATGCCAGTGCTGAGCCCCATCTGTCACCATTACAATCAGGAAAAGGTCCCACCCATTTATTCCCCTGGCCAGTGCGGTACAGCTCGCGACACTCTCTTAACTGTGGGGTTCAGGAGAACGTCTTTCCCATGCACGTGTTCACCCATCTAAGAGCAATGAACATCTACTGAAGCAAAACCCACTAGGTAAGCGCCTGCTACCCACCCCAGGTCCCTCAGGGATGCTGTACTAGTTTCTCATGGGTGCCTTAACAAACTGCCACAAACCAGGTGGCTTAAAACAAGATACATTCATTCTGTCACATTTCTGGGGACCAGAAGGCCAAAATCCAGGTGTTGGCAGGGCCACGGTCCCTCTGAAGGCTCTAGTGAAGGATCCTTCCACACATCTTCCAGCCTCTGGGGCCTGCAGGTGTTCCTTGGCCTCCTGGCTTGTGGCCATATCCTGCCAATCTCAGCTTCATGTCCCCTTCTCCTCTGTGTGCTTCTCCCCCCCCTCGGTCTCTTGGAAAGACACTTGTCACTGGATTTAGGGCTCACCCAGGTAACCTGGCATGATCACATCTCGAGCCCCTTCACTGAATTATTATATCTGCAAGGACCCTTTTTCCAAACGAAGTCACATGCACAGTCCAGGGAGCTGGATGTGAACGTACCTTTGTGCGGCCACCATTCAACCCCTCCCAGATGACAATTAAACATAAAACCCAGCACCTGAAAGCATTTCTGCTGTGAATAAATGAAACATTAAAGAAATGTGCTGCTGTTTTGCAAAACATCACCATTAAGTTTAAACTGTCAGCCCTTAAATATTCTCCCTCTGCTCACTCTAGGGAACGATACTCAATCCAGACAGTGAGATCCATCCCAGGTGGAACTGCACTGGACTTTTGTCATTAGTACTTTGTATGATAAACACAGATGCCTAAATCACATCCCGGGAGGTTCTTGGACTTAAGGGCCTCCCAGACATGGCAAGTGGCATGGGTGTAGGCAGCCAGAGTTCAAGAAAGGTTTCAGGACACGGGCCTTGTCCCAGCAAGTGCACCCGAGCTCTACCAGAGCAAAAGTGCTCAGGGTGGCAGGTGCTGGGAAGATGCTGAAGAACACCAGCTGTGTCCCCGCCCTGCCTGCCAGGAGGCAAGTCCGCAAGAGGCAAGTCCAAGTCCTCAGGGGTTCCAGGCAGCTTGGAAACCTTCAAGGAACACCAGCTCAGCTCCGGAATCCATAGCATGAAGCACACATTCAAGAAATCTTTCTGATTTGACACACGTGTGAGTGAACTCACCAGCCAGAGACTCCCTGGGTCCACGCCCAAGATGCAGTTCATGTCTGGGCTCTTGGGGTTTCTGGTGAACCCCCGACCATTCCTCTGAGCAAAGCTGGGCCCTGGACCACTATATCACAAGAGCATGGCCTCATGGGTAGGACCTCAGTGAAAAATGCCATGGGGCTCTCCATTAACCCCCTCCTCTCTGCCACCACACAAACAGTGTCTTCCACGTTGTTTCCTTTTCCAGGTTTTACAAAAAGCAGCGATTGAGGTCGATGAAAAGGGAACAGAGGCAGTGGCAGGAACCCTGTCACAAATTGTCGCTTATTCCATGCCTCCCATCATCAAAGTGGACCGGCCATTTCATTTCATGATCTATGAAGAAACCTCTAGGATGCTTCTATTTCTGGGCAGGGTGGTGGATCCCACTCGCCTGTGATTCCTGGCAGGCACAGGGACCTAGTGCGAAAGCAGACGCTGAGGCTGTGGCATCCGAACCCACCCAGGATACAGGCATTGGATGGCAGAGCAGGAAGGTGCTTCCACGGCCTCTGCTAGACTGGGCTTTTCTCACATAAATATTAAGTTGATACTGATCTATAGAGATCCATGATGCTTGTGCAGTCTGCCTGGTACTTTCAGCCTGTTTCCGACAGCCTTTGTATTTGACTGAAGATCAGGTAGGTGGAACACCTTTACCTTTCTTGGTGGCTAACATAACTGGACTTACAAGATGGCAGCTCTACTATCTCAACATAAAGTCTTTGGGAGGAAGCCATGCACACCCTGTCCTTGAGCCATATGCTTCTCTCTTTACTTCTCCACGGTGCAAAGTCAGTGTTTCAGCTCACTCTATTACAGGACCATTTCTTGTTGAGTAAAATGAAAACAGCTCCAGTCACTCACAGTCACAGGCTCGGCCTTGATGCCGCCCAACCCACTCCATGGTGCATTCAATGAGGTGGCAGAGGCATTATGTGAGCCATAGATCATCTAGTTCAATACCTTCATTTCACAGAGGACAGAAATAGGGACCCTGCGACAGTATGTGTGCATAGTGAAGAAATGCAGGCCAATGAAAAATATGATTTATTTTAAAAAACAACTATAACAATAATTTAAGTTTCAACTGAGGGGATAAATGTGAAAATTGTACCAAGTTTCAATGTTGTTGTTGTTATTATGTGCCCTTGAGTCAGACCCGACTCATAGCAACCCCTCCTTGGGTTGCTGAGGCAGTATCTCTACAGAAGTACAGATTGCCCAACCTTCCTTCCAAGGAGTGGCTGGTGGGTTTGAACCACCAGCCTTCTGGTTAGCAGTCAAGTGCCTTAGGCACTACACCACCAGAGCTTCCTAGATGTGTTATTTTGAAAATTGCTCCTTCATACATGTGCACTCTTACACTACATACATGCACACTCTCCCACACTACACACGCATGCACTCACTACACACATACACTTTCACACTATATCTGTGGCCACTCTCTCACACTACACACACACACACACACACACGCAGTCTCACACATGTCTGCTCTGACAGTTGAGAACAGATTACTGAATTTTACCCACAAGGCCAAGCTCCTACTCAAGCTGAGGGGCCTGTTTCATCTCAGCTCAATTTTCCTCATGCGCCTGCTCACTGCCAGGCAAAATAGGCCCCTTCTCTCCAGAATAAGCTGTCAGGCTCAGGAAGTCGAATAATGAAGATGCTTTTTAAAATGTGTGTGAGGGTGTGGAATTTTCTCTCTGCCCCCGTCACTTGACATCTGTGAAGCAAAGTCTTTTCACCACTGTCCGCATTTCTGCCTGCCGGTGGGGCTGTCCTCCAGAGGCCTGCTGTTTCCTTGTAACGCCAGCTCATGGAATGCCCAAGCCTGTCTTTAAAATGCAAGTTTCTGTAATGAACAGATACCTGAAGGTGATGTTCCCTTTCCTGGAGCCTCAGGTAGAGGGAGGTATCAGTCTACAAGCAGTTCCAGGGACCTCTGTGATAAACTGTTCAACTGAGAGCTGTCACACACACCTCCATCTTGTGGTCTGACACAAAGGTGAGGGTATTCCTAACTGTCAACAATTTGCTTACTCTTCTCTATAAATATGTCCTTGGAAATATAATTTTACCAAGATTTCAAAAATTATTATCATGTTCTGTAAAAATAATAATAATAAAAAAACAATAAACTTCCAAAAGTAATTTGGACGAACTGTCTTCATGATAATTAAGTGCCAGGAATAAGACTGCAACGGACTTCTCTATAGTCCTAAATTTTATTGGTAGTAATTTTTCACTGTCAAATTACTGTCCTTTTCTCCCCCTAAGCATGGGAAAATCCCCAAGTTTTGAGAAAATCAAAACTTAGAACTCTACCAAACTTATTATTTAACAAATAAACTGAAATTCTCCATTTTATTTAAATCATAGATGATGCTGTCAGTCAAAGTGCAGAAAGACTGATATAGTTTTGATGTCCCATTAAGCCCCCCAAATCCTCCACCTGGGTCATAAGATATCCCACCTGACATTGCTGAAGCTAGTGGAGACCTAGCTAGCTACAGGAAATCCATGAACAACAGTACTGAAGGTGGTTAGTCAACACCATCTGGTTCCCATACCTACCCAATTTTTAACTGCTGACAAATAAAATGAGTAGGTCGAACAATTCCATTTACCTGACTCTTCTTTGCTGAAGAATATTAAAAATCACTTAGAAAAAAAAAAAAAAAAAGGCCACAAGGTGGGCAAAAACCAAAACCAAACCTGAAGCCACTGAGTCAACTCATGGTGAGTCTATAGGACAGAGTAGAACTGCTCCGTGGGTTTCCAAGGCTGTAAATAGTATGGAAGCTGACTGCCACATCTTTCTCCCATGGAGCAACTGTTGTTGTTGTTGATACATGCCGTCAAATTGTCTCTGACTCATAGTGACCCCTTCCTTGGGTTTCCGAGGAGGTATCTCTACTGAAGTAGATTGCCCAATCTTCCTTCCGAGGAGTGGCTGGTGGGTTTGAACTGCCAACCTTCTGATTAGCAGTCAGATGCCTTAGGCATTATGCTACCAGAGCTCCTTTGGAGCAACGGGTGGGTTCTAACCACCAGTCTTCTGGTCAGCAGCCAAGCACTTCACCTCCATCCTCTCCATAAGGAAGATAAAGGGGAAACAAGGGTGGGACAAAGCCTCCTACTGACGAACCCTGAGTAATTCACAGCTGACATCAGCATGCTTCTGTCATTCATTACCGAAACTTGAGCCATCTTATTCTTTGATTAGAAAATAAAAACTGCAGGAAAATGTTCAAAGCTTTTTTCACAAACACAGGTTTCTCATTAACCTATGTTTTATTTTGAGTAAATTCATTATTTCACATTATAAAAAGTAGGCACACACATATGCATTCACAAATTAGATCATCTTTATCATACATCAACATAGTTTAAAAAACAAATATCTTCTAATATCAATATAGTGATATGCTGATTGCATTTGGAAACAGAGAAGCTGACAACAGCTTCAGACGGTGTATCTCCAGACCTGACATTTTCCGATTAGGAAGGGTTTCTGTTCCACAGGCAAATTTTGATGGTAATCTTAGCATTAGTACTAATAAATGCTGTTCGATAGCTTAAGCATGATAGCTTGGAGTAACAGCTGATTCAAACTAGAGTCATCATTTTAAATTTTAAATTAAAGGACAGATACAATCTAAAATGTAAACAAAGTATTTATAAAATAAATTCTTCTAGGAAATAAAGGAAATCATCAATCTATTATTTTCAAGGTATGTGTTGCTAAAAGTTATCAGAAATCTTTGTAGAATTGTTGTCACTGCCAAATTTAAGTTTGTGAATGTCCAGGCACAACAGCTGGTCACTGCAATCACAGGACTGTAATACTGAGGACAGCTTTTTGTATCTCTTCAGTGTGACTTTTCAACTGGGCTTGAAGATTGGTTAGAAATTGCAGCTCCTTCCTCCCGCCAGGGATTATCCAGCCAGGGCAATTTCAGCTGATCTGGACTGCTGGACAGTTTTTCAATGCTGAAGCTCTAAATGACAGCAACCAAACAGAGGGTTCCCTGCACACACGAAGGCAGACTCGCGTCTTTCGCAGCTTAAGTAAAGCACAGGCCTAAAGTTGCTCTGTTAGACTTCAGTGTAACAGTGAGATTCTGCCACCACATTATTATCCATGGAAATATATATTATGCTTCCTAGGGAATCTAATCTCAGATATGGGAAGTTCAACACCAGATGCTATCACACCTCTCTTTTCCATTCATTAAAAAAAGAAGGGGGGGAAAACAAGCCAATCCATTGCTTTAGCTCTTGTTCATCACAGTGTCTCCACCTGTCTGTGTTCTGCCTCCTTCATCAAGCAGATGGCTTAAGGATTGGATTTTTTGGATTTTCTTTGTCAAAAAATAAGAAAGGAAGAGGGAAGGAAGGAACGAGAGGGAAAAGAGAGGAGAGAGAGAGAAAGAAAAATTATCCATATGATGTTTACAAAGCAAATAAAGAGATATAAACATAATCCACTTTAAATAAATCTGACATATGAGAATGCTGATTCAGGGAAAATGTTAATTCCATTAAAGATTACTTGAAATTACCTTTAATTATCAAAAATCATACACACACTCAGCATTCAATTTGGGGAAAAAATTAACTCTACAACTTTTCATTCATTTTGCATTTTGAATAGCCGTAACAAATTAACACAGGCCTGAACATAACTGTCTGCCCTTAAGAGGCATAAGATATGGTATACAGCTGTGCAGTGTTTCCTTTAAGAGACTCATCTTCCCAAACGGGACATGTGGCATCTCTATGGTGCTGACAAGTTAGAGAATGCACTGCACGTGATTTTACAAGTGCAGACTGAGATGACGCTTTCTGAAATCACTTGACAGGCTTACTTTTTTAAAGGATATATTTTCATTTAGACACTACATCAAAAACCAAACTCACTGCCATCCAGTCAAACCCGACTCATAGCGAGCTCTCCTTGGGTTTCCGAGGCGGTATCACTACGGAAGTAGATTGCTCAGTTTTTCTTCTGGGGAGTGGCAGGTGGGTTTGAACCGCTAGCCTTCTGGTTAGCAGTCAAAAGTTCTGAATTATGGATAATACTTCACAGAAGATGACCAGTGTAGATTCTAATCATGTCTGTCTGCTATAGGGAGGTATACAGTTGCCAGGAAGTCCAAATTTGAGGCACACTACAAGGAAACGTAGCTACGAATTTCAGATCCAGCCACATTAGAGCAGTGCCGTGGGCACCAACATCAGCCTCCTTCAGGGTATTCAGGAAAGATCACACACCAGATGTCTGATGTTGGCAGAGTGTTTCTAGAGGCGTTTTTTTAAAACCACCCATTTTATATTTGTTTTCAAGGAAAAGAAAATTTAGTTTATAAAAAGGGAAAACATACTCTAACAATGGAAGAACGGATAAAAGACAGTAATCCGAGATAAAGGAGCCCTGGTATAAATATAGTACGTTTCAACAATCTTTAATAAAAATGCCTAAATCCTTTAGAAAAATAAGTTGAGAAGACAACGAATCCCATTCTACTGTTATTGCGTGTATGTCCTGATAGAAGGATCCTAAGGAAGTCTTTTGAGATGAAGGTTAAGGGTGACGGAGAAGCACCTCAGGATGCCTTAGAGGATGAACCCCAAGTCACCCCTGTCACTGTCAGTGGTGCCCAATGAGGCCAGCACTCTCTGTGGGCCATCACCTGTCCTGTCTCTGCTCCCAGGACTCTCCAGTGCAATTTCCCCAGTAGAATCAATAGATCAATGACTGTATGGGTAAAGTGTATCCCATTCAACGAGATCCTTAGAAAGCTCCCTCTGTATTAATGCCACTAACCTGACACGTCAGTATTCCTTTTCTCTACCACTATCAGTTTTTTCCATTATAAATTCCTACTCTTTCTTTCAGCTCCTTTCAGCAAATTCTTTTTGAGATTCTGAATTAAGTTCATTACATACACCTACATTTGTATATACTCAATGGCCAATTAAAATTTACAATAACTCACAATATAGTTCACTTCCTAAAACAGAGTCCAGCAGGGAGTTTCTGCAAAGACACAGGAACTGTATTAGAAAGTGTCCGTGAATTATATGAGATGCATGTAGCAGAAAATGTGAATCCTGTTCAAATTCTGTTCTCGTTAGGAGGCCCAGGTGCCCGCAGGAAAGAGTAAAGGGCACCATCGTTTGGGCATCTGAGCTGACCCATTCCACTTGGTGCGACCTCTCCTCATGGTGACGTTTCCAGCACCACCTTCTTAACGTTTAAGTGAAACAAAACAAGGGCTTCCACAATTCAAGCAAGACACAAACAGCCTGTAAAGGACCATGATGGCAAAGGAAACTGAAGGCCCTTTATAGCCTCAACATCAAGGCCAACGACAGGCTGGAAAAAGCCCTTATTTCCCAGACCCACTACTCTGGTTTTATGCTGGAGTAATAGCTCTTAAGGGGTATCAGCATTGCCCGTCTCTGTCTGGCACTGAGCAACTCACCACTGTGTACTTGAGCTAGCTGCTCAAGGGACCCAATTACACGCAGTGTTTGCTCAGAAATAAGCTCGCCGAATCCAAACATGTTCTAGAAAAACAAAGAGACCTCAGATATGAGTGGGAGCCATTTCAATGCTTCTCGTTGGTTCCCTAATGTTACCATGTCTTTGCCACGTATAAATCATTGTAGATACAATACCTAGCCTAACAGAGTTACGTGTGATAAGAACCCCTTCTAGTTGTTAGCACTCCTCATTACTGACACATCCTGTCCTCTGCGAAGTGTTTCATGGGAAGGTCACTGCCCTGACAAGCAGAGAAGGACAATGAAGACACTTAGAATCAAGCCACTTGGTTACTTACAATGCAGCCTTCCGTGGCTGCGCGTCTTTACTGCCACTGCTCTTTGGATCAGCCGAGTTACTTGTTCCCCGGGAAGTGCTCGGTAAAGGAGTGTTAGGAGAAAAGGCAGCTGGGAGGCTGCTGGCATTACGGGTCCGGAAGGAATCATCTGAAAGCGAGAGCATATAGACAAACATTGAACACGCCAAGAAAGGCATTACCAAAAACAGAAAGTTAAAGTTTTTTGTTTTTTTTTTAAATCAACTTCAGTATAATTTACATACGAAGCAATGCAATGCCAAAATGTGACTGTGCAGTGTTAAGTTCTGACATACACACCCATGAAGCCATCATCACAATCAAGACACTGAGCATGCTCATCGCTGCCCCCCTGTAAGCCCCGCCTCCTCTCCCTCCCCCATCTGGGTGCCCCCAATTCACCTTCTGTAACTCCAGGTTAGTTTGCATTTTCTAAAATGTTCTATAAGTGAAATCATACAGTATGTACTCTTTTTGTCTATTGCTCTCATTCAGCATAATTATTTTGAGGTTTATCCATGTTCTTTCAATATTCTGTTGTTTTTTATTGCTGACTGGAATCCCGCTGCCTAAAGGGAGTGTTACCCACTCTCCTCCCGATGGCTATCTGCACTGCTTCCAGTTTCTATTACAAAGAAAGCTGCTTCGAACATTTGTGGACGACTCTGTGTGTGGATGTGGATTTTCATTTCCCTTCAGCAAATGCCTAGAAGCAGAACTGCTGAGATGGGTATGAAGATATATATGGATACATACATGTATATGCATGTGGATACATGCATGGATATGTCTGCACACACACAGAAACCAAAACACCAAACTCACTGCCATCAGCTCAGTTCCAACTCATAGTGACCCCCTTTGGGTTTCTGAGGCAGTAAATCTTTAAGATAGTTGATTGCCTCATCTTCCTCCTGTGGAGTGGCTTGTGGGTTTGAACTGCCAACCTTCTGGTTAGCAGTCACATGCCTTAGGCACTATGCCACCAGCGCTGCTTATACACACGTATACGTATCTTTAAAAGAAAGTGCCAAACTACTGTCCAAAGTGATCAGACCCATCAATGTATGAGAGTTCTAGTTATTTCACATCCTCACAAACACTTCATATTGTAAATTTGAAAAATGTTTAGAAATTCTAGTGGTATGTATAGGAGCCCTTGTGGCAGTGATTAAGTCCTCAGCTGCTAATTGAAAGGTCAGCGATTCAAACCCAGCAGCTGTTCCACGGCAGAAAGATGTGGCGGTCTGCTTCTGTAAAGATATGCAGCCTTGGATCCCCTGTAGGGCAGTCCTACTCTGTCCTACAGGGTCACTGTGAGTCAGAGTCAACTCAACAACAGTGGACTTTCTGGTTCTAGTGGTGTGCGCAGCATGACATATTATCTGAACTATTGTTTCTGTCTTGGTTTCCTAAAGAATTAGTGATGGTAACCACGTTTTCATGTACGATTTATCTTCTGTGACATGTAAGTGCCAATCTTTGGCCCATCTTAAGATCTGGCTGCCGCCTTATTATTGGGTTTAAAACATTTCTCTGCTTGTTCTTTGTTAGATACACGGATGAAAACATTTTCTCCCAATCTGCGTCTTTCTTCTCTTACTGCTCTCTCAAAGAGCCTCAGTTTTACATCTGGATGAAGTCCAATATATTAGGATTTTTCTGTTCTGGTTAGTAGAGATGTGTGTGTACTACAAAATTACAAAGGCTTTTTTCTAGAAGTTTCACAGGTTTAGTTGTCAGGTTTACAATCTATTTTGAGTTGACTTCATGTACAGTGAGATGAGAACAGAGGTTCTCAAGTTGAAGGAGTTGAAGAACTCCAACCTCGTTTTTTTTATTATTATTATTCAGCACTGTTTTGCTCTACTAGGCCCTTTGTGTTTTGGTATAGATTTTAGAATCGGCTTATCAATTTCTGCCAGAACTTTGGTTGTATGGAACGCAGGGATCAGATTAGAAAGAACGGACACTGTAATATGTGTAAGTCTTCCAATCCATAAACATGGCATAGCTCTCCTTTGATGGAGGTCTTTGAGTTCTTTCGGTCATGTTTGGAAGTCACATTTTGTTAAGTTCACCCCCAAACATTTAATGTTCTTGAAGCTGTTGTAAATGGTATTTTCAAGTATACTTTTACAACAGTTCAGATGTACGGAAACCCTGAGAAGATGAGGACACTGAGTGCGCACATGCCTTTCTCCCAGCTTCCCTCCCCACTCAGGTCCTACCTCCTGTGCTCTACATTTATTACAGTGAATCAGTCAACACTGGTGCGTCATTGTTGACCGAAGTCTACAGTCCATTTGGACCCCCATATTTCTTATCTACTGCTATTTTCCTGTTCCAGGATCCCACTGAGGACACCACATGGCATTCAACTGTCATGTCTCCTTGGGCAACTCCTGGCTATAACATATAACACTTTCTCAGACCTTCCTTATTTTAGATGATCTTGACAGTTTTGTGGGACATCTGTAGGATGCATACAATTCACAGTGAAGCCCTACTGCTCATAACATCCTGAAAATGATTGCAGAGATGCTTAGTCTATGTTTCAGCCACTGCCTGGACAATGATGAAACTCATCCTATAATTTTGCCCTTTTTCTTTTTTAAAAGTATTGAACTCTGGGCCCTAACATATTGAAAACAAAATGACATACTTAGTGAAGCATTTCCTCAATTGCTAGGGAAAAGTTAAATTTCTTAGAGAACTGATACATAAATACATTTAGGGGGGGAAAAAGACTGTATCTAGAAATACTTTTAAAATCAGCTTATTTTAAAAATATCTTTTTTCTCTTTTTTTTTAACTTAGCACTTTTTACAAGACCCTACATTGCTACTTACCAGTTAGTGACAGTATAGAACTTTTTGTTAACCCTGAGACAGATGGTGCATATCCTGCTGAAGAACTTTTACTAGAAAAAAAAAAAAAAACATGATGTAGTTTAAAATGAAGAACACACTTCTTTCCATTACAGTCATCTAGCCCTTGGTCTGTCCTAGCCCCTCCCCTTTTTGAAAAGGTTTCCTCTACCTCTTCTGAAATCTGATTGTTGCTTCTGTTTTTCATTCATTTTCAGTCTGTACCTCACAACCTTTCCCTTGTCTGTAACTTAGAAGACTGAATTGAAACCTTAGCATCAGAGGAATAGTTTTTCTTCTCATGCTTAGCTAACACAGGAAAGATGGGTGAAATTTTCTTGGAAACAATTGACCTTAACTTCTAATCCCTTTCATCCATCTCGAGATCATGCTATTGAATAGGAACTCTAGATGGATAGAATAATATGTCCAAAAATTGCTGACAATCTGCATTAGCCTAGTTTTAATAAAAGAAAACTGTGGGTTTTTGTTTGTTTGTTCTTGTTTTTTTGCTAAGATGTGATTTATCTTGATAGATAAATGAACACTTCTAAAGGCATTTACATTTTCTTAAAATTATTGTGCTTGTCAATGGATATGCAGCTGTCACACACTGTATTTATATGTTGTCGTTATGTGCCATTGAGTCAGATCCAACTCATAACAACCCCTCCTTGGGTTTCCAAAGTGGTATCACTACGGAAGTAGATTGCCCAACCTTCCTTCTGAGGAGTGGCTGGTGGGTTGGAACCACCAGCCTTCTGGTTAGCAGTCAACTGCCTTAGGCACTATGCTACCAGAGCTCCTCGGGAGCAGCTGGTGGGTTGGAACCGCCAGCCTTCTGGTTAGCAGTCAACTGCCTTAGGCACTATGCTACCAGAGCTCCTCGGGAGCAGCTGGTGGGTTTGAACCTCCAACCTTGCACTTGGCAGGCAACTGCCTTAGGCCCGAGGCCTAGTTGTTTAATGCTAATTGTCTCCTTATCTTAACTGTTTATACTTCTACCTTCTGAGCTGAGTGGATACCAGACTTGCCTCTTTAGTGAAGGGAGCTCCCAAAGGAGCAACTTAGTGGCTTCTTGACAGACAGAAGCATATGCAGGGCAAATGGATCTCTTTATTGAGTGGCTCAGGTATGTCCACACCCACTTAGAAGTATCCTAAAAGCAGACGTGGATTCCATGCTGTTATCAAACAGTGCTGTGGCAGTATTCCTCCTAGAATGCTAGGATATCTATTCTTATATAAATCAGTAGACTTCTAATTTTTTTTTAATGTAATAATCTTTTCAGAAAAGAAGTAACTCATTGTCCTTTTAAAAAAAATCTCAAAATCACTTCGGTTAATTTTCATAATAATGTAAATACTTCACATAAGTAATTATATGTGGCTATAAAATAAAAGGGATCTCTGGTAGCATAGTGGCTAAGACACTTGCCTGCTAACCAGACGGCTGGCGGTTCAAACCCACCAGCCACTCCTCGGAAGGAAGGTTGGGCAATCCTACTTCCGTAGTGATACTGCCTCGGAAATCCAAGGAGGGGTCGCTATGAGTCAGGTTTGACTCGATGGCACATAACAACAACAACATAAAATAAAAAAGTAAAAAGTTAGTAGCTAACAGATCATACCTAGTGCACTTGTCTAAGGTGCCATATTTTGCATGAAAAGCTTGATTATTAAAAGACTGGCTCCGAATCAGTTTGGACTTCTTGATTTCTTTGCCTAGAGTAATAAACAGAAATAAGGAAAATGCAATTGTAAGTCATCCTTGCCTGCCCCGATTCCCATCCCCTCCCCAGCTGCCATCATTTTCAGTACAACACAGCTAAGCTGAGCTTTCTTTCCTCAGTTGGAGCTGACTGGAAGGTGTCTTTGTCCTACCCAGTGACAACTCCCAAAACAACCAACAATAAAAAGCAAGGGGTGCTTGGCAACAACATATCTCACTTAAGAGTGTGGCTTCATCTGAAATTAATACTGATAAGAGAGACATCTACAGAAGCTATTTCTTACTTGTTGATGGGCTGGCAGAAGAGGGCCCGGGAACAGAAACAGGGATGCTCTTGGGCAGGTTTGTCAGTGTCTTAGTGTCTCTGCCTAAAATAAAGACTGTTTAAATTCTGTGATTCCCTCTTGGTCATTATTAAGTACTAGGATAACACAGAAAATATGAACCACTATCCCAGGATAAGCAGTATTCTTTTCCAAAAATTTTTACTTTACATATCTTAATCTCTGTTCCTTGGTGATTAATTTTACAATCTGATTACTGTAAGAGGCATCTTAAACTTTCTATTTTTATATATGTGTTATTATTTGGTTAAATTATTTGGTTTATTAAAGTATTTGGTTAAATTATTTGGTTGAAATATACACAGCAAAAGATACACCATTTCAACAGATTCTATGTAGGTAACTCATGTATAATTTTACACAGTCTTCAAGTAGTATAACTGTTCTCGCTATCCGTTTTCAACTTATTCCACCATTATTAACATACACTCTCTGACCCCTAAGCTTCTCATACAACCTTTCGAGGTGCTGTTGTCAATCTGATCCCACAAAAATAAATCTTTGAAAGAAAAAATGCTCTAGGCAGATACATTTCTACAAACTAAGCTAAATTATTGCCTCATTCTAAGCAGACATCTGTGTAAACTTTTGGATTGAGGTTTCAGGTTTTAAGATTATTTCAGGGCAGTAGTTTTGGGTATTTGTCCAGCCTCAGTGACTCTAAATGCTATGAACTGAATTGAGAATTTGAAATTCTATTCCATTATTTTCTCCCCTTTTGATCAAGATTCTTCTATGGAATCTTAGATCACAATGTGTTCAGTACTGATAGCACCATCCATTTCTTCAGGTCTAAAGCCACAGGAGGAAGATGGTGGCAACATTTCCTCCTCTGATTCTTGATTTTCCTTCTTCCTCTGCTACTGCAGGTGAATGCAGAGCTACTGTTCTAGCTTGAATGACCACTTGCAAGCTTTAAAGACTCCAAATACTATACGAAGCTTCCCTTTTGAACCTCCACACTGATCATCTATTCATGTATGCCTAACATCTGCACCACATTAAGCAGCTGACGACTGAAAACAACTTTTCACAAGATGAAAGAAAGTGAGGCCAGTGTCATATCACTTTAATAACTCAGCAGGTCTTTCAGAAAGCCAGGAGACAACATCAAATATGTAACTGAGGGCAAAGGTAGGGAAAGCTACTTACGTTTCTTTTCAATGGTTTTATCAGTCAGGGGTCTTCCATCATTCTGTTGCTTCTCTTTCTCTAATTGTTCCTGTTTTTGAAACATTTGTCTTAGCATTAAAGTACAGCTTAAACAAATTTAGGAAATTCTTCTAGTAAGAAATAGCTCCAAGCTTCACAGATCAAATGTAATTCACAAAAGTACTTAAGGAAGTTTTTGTGTTTTTTTCAAATTAGTGCCTAAAGAAGTCAGGATTCTTCGATTTGTTTGTGCCCTGGGGGCTTTGTCAGCTAAAACAATGAGTTTAGTAGCACTGCTGTAAAACCAGCCTGCGATCAAACAGACTCTGATTCAGGGTGACCTCATGTGTCAGATTAGGACCAGGCTTCAGAGGGCATGCTCCTATGGCCGGTTTTTCAGGAGAAGATCACCAGGCCTTTCTTCCAAGGTGTCTCTGAATGGACTTGAACCTCCAAGCTTTTGGTGAACAGCCAAGTGCATTAACTATTTGCACTGCCAAGGGACTCCACATTGCTATAATGGACCTTGTTTTCTAGAAGGCACTTACAGACTCACTAACAAAGTATCTGTTACAACCAGTCATGTCAATTTCTGATTGGTAAATGGCAAAATATTATCTTTCTTTAAAATGATTGACAGCAAAGGAAATGGCCTCTTGGATACTTTTGCTAACGGCCTTACTGATGTATAGTTAATATACATACAGAAATGTAAACAAATTATATGTATACAACTCAATGAATTTTCACAAAGTGAACACACCAGCTTCCAGATCAAGAAATATTATGAAAACACAGGAGCCCTATGCCAATAAACAAGTAGGTTAAGAAAAAAAAAAAAATCGGTGAAGGTATCAAGTTCTGAACAAACTTCACCTAACTCATGTACAGAAAACTGCATTCAACAAATGGAAAACATACATTCTTTTCAAGTGCACATGGAAAATAAAGAAAAAGATAGAGGACATAGATGGCACAATAAAGAATTTCAAGAATATTGGACTCCATAAAGAATCAAGTTGAAATTCTAAAACTGAAAATGAAACA